CCTTTCCCTTTTTAAAAAAAAAAAAAAAAAAAAAAAGGACTCCCAAAAAGTGTTGTGTTGTGTTGTTTTGTTTTGTTTTAAGGATTTTGTTACAAGAGAAAGCATCATTAGACATAAACCTCTTGCACTGGAAAAACAAGCAAACATTACAACAAGCAAAATCCATTTTGCACAAAAAAGAGGAATCTAGCACTTGATCCTGCAGTGGTTACTCAGGCTAAACTCCTGTAGCATCAGGTCTGAGAGATCTTTTGTAATACATGGGGTTTTCTTTCTAATGCATATTTAGTTGTAGTTTTATTTCTTTTCATAAATTGAAAACAAGTAGCCTCCTCTGTAGTATGCGTCTGTCCCTGAAATTTCTTTGAGTTTGAGAACCTAATACTGGAAGCTTTTGTAGTTCTTTTTTGGTACAAGCTAGGGTTATTTTTCACAAGCTTTTAGCCTGACTTGACTTTTCTCTCCTGTCAGCATTACCAGACTGCCACAGCAGCCATCCCTTATCTGCGTTGGTGGTTTTTGTGCTGAGCCTAATAGTTTTGTACACAGGTTATTAACTTGTGCCCTACAATGCTTCTTCATCCATGTTTATCATTTCATGGAAAAGACCATGGTCCTTTCCAGTAGACACATCTCACACTGAGTTGTAGAAATTTTCATATTGTAAATCACAGTGAAGCACAGACTATAGTACAGACAAACAAATGGTAATTTTTCACAATGTAATGTTTCTATCAAGATTTTTTTTTAATTACCAATAAAAAGGTTAGCATTTGTGTGGACCAATCTGCAGTGTCATTTTAAAACCTATGTTTCATATTCAAATAATCATGACTATGCATCAATTAGATCCAGTATATTTTGATGCATATTCATGTGATGCAGTTTGGGTGAAAATTATACATGATATACAGCTGTTTTTGTATTTTTTTTCTATGTTGTGAAGAACAAGATTGTAATTTTATAAGTATTTGATTCACTAAGATTACAATAAGTTAAATGTATCTTTTGTATATTTAGAAAGCTGATAATACATGCAGTTCTGAAAGACTAAGCATAGACTTTTTATCCATGTATGGAAGATGTTTCTACTTGATGTTAATGTAGTGAAATGGTTTCTTCACTAAATACCAGTTGGTGGTGTTACATTGTGAAATAAATTGGTTCTGTGCTCTCTGCCTGGATTTGGACTACTGACAAATGATGTTAATTCTTGTAATCAAAATAAAATAATTCTGAGTTAAATGTAGCATTGGTAGTATTTCAAGAACCAAAGCCTAAATATATTTGGACATGCAACAGAAGCTTGGTTAATCCTTAGGTTTTATTACAGTGTACTTGAGTTACAGATTTCTTTAGCATATGTAAACTTTTTGCACTCAGAACCTTGAAACATATTAAACTTGATGTACAGTAACTAATGTCTTATTTTCCAGCTTCAAGAAATAGCCATCACAAATGTATTGCAGACGTGCAAATTCATATATGCTATACAGTATCCTGTATGCCCCAGGTTTAGAATATCAGGTTTTTGCTCTTCGGTTGTTATCTGTTCTCTTGATAGTGGTCTCATCCTACAAGTACAGGTAGTTGCCAATGGTATGTTTTAACAAGTGCAGTAGGCTATCTAGGAGCATATTCACTAAATTAATTGCAAATTGTATGTTACCAAGGCAACATTTTAGGTATTCTCTAATGCTTTAAAACACTTCTGAGAGATTTAAATATCTAGATAAGATGTAACCTTCTAATATGGTGGTTCTCAATCTTTGTAGGCTCAAGGCACCCCAAGTTAGACTTGAGGCACCCTTTAGAAAATGCCAACTCCTGTTTTCACTGGTTTTTGACTACAGAAAAATAATAAAGCAATTCTTCTGTCGCAAAGAACTCAAAGACCACGACAGATCAGATAGGAAGTCATAGTATTTAAAGCTATTTGAACTATGGATTTATCTTTTAAATCATATTTGCACACCTAACAGTATTAGCATTGCATGGCACTCTATGGCACCCTTGAAAGTATCTGAAGGCTTTCCAGTGCTCTAGTAGCAGTGGTCTCCAAAGTGGGGTGTGCACAGGACAATCTATTGGGGTGCGGGAAGAAAATATTAGAACTTCTATTTATATAGATGGGGTGCTCGATCAAAAAAGGTTGGAGACCACTGCTCTAGTAGAAATGAATAATGGTTGAAGAGCACCATATTTCTAACCGTATGCTTGTCATAAGATTTCATAACTACAGTGATTTTTTTTTTTGTCTATTTGCAAAAGAGATGGCATAAACATTGCTTTCATATCCTGTGATAGCTTAGCGCTACTGTGTAAATAACTTTTTCCCTTTCAGCGTTTGTGCTGAATTCTCTAGTTTTGCCCAAGAAAATAATGCAAATTACAGACCATATCACCTTTATAGTCTTTATTCCAAACTAAAGAATTCAGTTTATATGGAAGCAATATTAATTGGCTAGCTCAGATCTGAAAGATACGAAGTGTGAGGAGCAATTTTGCAAAGGGAATTGATTACAAATAGCCTTCAAGGCTCATGTCTTAGGAGCAGGTTGATGGGTTCAGGCTTGTGTAAAGTTCTTTGTTGGGGTAAACACCATAACGTGAAAAACTGGATTTCTACATGGTCCAGTTTTATTTGGTATAGAGAAAATGTTTCTAGAGAGCCACTGCTGTGTACTTTAGAAATGGTTCAAGCCTCCTGATAACCTGAACCTTCTATTCAGCTCCTAATAGCTCTGAAATGTTACTTACCCGATTGCCTAAACAGACAGACCTTTGACTAGTAAGAAAAGGGGGGGTTGTTTTTGGCAGGGAGGGGTTAGTATCATACTTTATAATTTCATAGTTTCATAGATTTAGGGTCGGAAGGG